GAACTCCTGACCTTGTGATCTGCCCACCTCGGCTTCCCAAAGTGCTGGGTTTACAGGCGTGATCCACTGCGCTCGGCCTATTATTATTTATTTTTAGATGGAGTCTTCCTCTGTCGTCCAGGCTGGAGCGCAGTGGCACGATGTTGGCTGTCTGCAACCTCCACCTCCTGGGTTCAAGCGATTCTCCTGCCTCAGCCTTCTGAGTAGCTGGGGTTACAGGCACCCGCCACCATGTCTGGCTAATTTTTGTATTTTTAGTAGAGACGGGATTTCACCATGTTGGCCATGGTGGTCTTAAACTCCGGACCTCAAGCAATCCACCTGCCTTGGCCTCCCAAAGTGCTGGGATTACAGGCATGAGCCACCACACCTGGCCTATGTTCTAATTATTTACCAAGCAAAAGATAAGCAAACCTAGTTGATGAAATACCTTAAGAGATGTTTATTGTCTATAAGCACTTTCAGGTAATCTGCCAGTTTCTTCTGCATGAGTGCAAGATAAAGCCAAGCTCGGCCTCTTCCCACAGCTGTCCTAGAATTCAAACAGAGCATCAAACTGTTGTGACATCACAACAACAAACACAGAAAAGAAACCTGATTTAGCTAGGGAGATACACAGGAAACACACCCTTGTAAATGCAGAGGACACTCTACAAATGGCTGTTTGGGGTTGGGGAGGGAGGCACGTGGCCTGGGCAGGCATCGAAAATGGCTCACCACACACCTTTGAGTACTATTACAAATACAGTTAGATAATGCTTTGCGTATAGTCATAAAATATCACAGGAAAATATCAGGTTAGATTTGTGTAATAGATAAACATTCTTTCAAAAGACTAATAGAGAACTTAGTGCTTGCTAAAGTGCTAAAGCTTGTAAAATCTCCAAGGGGTTAGCTCAAAGGTACAATTTTTTTTTTTTTCTGAGATAGTCTTGCTCTGTCGCCCAGGCTGGAGTGCAGTGGTGCAATCTCAGCTCACTGCAACCTCCACCTCTTGGGTTCAAGCAATTCTCGTGGCTCAGCCTCCCGAGCAGCTGGGATTAAGGCACGTGTCACCACGCCTGGCTAATTTTTGTGTTTTCAGTAGAGACAGGGCTTTGTCATGTTAGCCAGGCTGGTCTCAAATTCCTGGCCTCAAGTGATCAGACTGGCTTGGCCTCCCAAAGTGCTGGGATTACAGGCATGAGCCACTGCACCTGGCCTTAAAGGTACAATTTTATGTTTTATTATTGTGGTAAAATACACAGAACATAAAATTTACCATCTTAACCATTTTTAATCTTACAGTTAAGTAGTATTAAGTACATTCACAATGTTGTGGAACCAATTTTTTTTTTTTTTTTTGAGATGGAGTCTCACTCTGTCACCCAGGTTGGAGTGCAGTGGCACAATCCTGGCTCACCATTGTGATCTCAGCTCATTGCATCCTCTACCTCAAGGGATCAAGCAATTCTCCTGCCTTAGCCTCCCAAGTAGCTAGGATTACAGGCACCTGCCACCGCGCCCAGCTAATTCTTGTATTTTTAGTGGAGATGGGGTTTCTACCATCTACCATGTTGGCCAGGCTAGTCTCGAACGCCTGACCTCAAGTGATCTGCCCACCTTGGCCTCCCAAAGTGCTGGGATTACAGGCGTGAGGCACTGCACCCAGCCCCAGTCTTGAAGGTATAATTTTTCTGTATTCTAGCATTATCTCCAGAGAAGCAGAAAAGAAAGAAGAGGAAAAAAAAAGAAAAGAAAGAAAGAACAGGCCTGCATTAAACATTAAAAGAATAAAGGCTTCTCAAGTGCTGCTTGGTGAGACTGTAAACTTTACAACTTCCTTTTTTTTTTTTGGAGATAGGGTCTTGCTCAGTCGTCCATGCTGCTGAGCAATGGCATGATCATGGCTCCCTGCAGCCTGGAACTCCCAGGCTCAAGTGATAATCCTGTGTTAAGCCTCTGGAGTAGCTGAGACACACGCTACTACACCCAACTAATGTTTTTTTTT